AAAAAAAAAAAAAAAAAAAAAGGATATTCTTAGATTTCCGGATAGTGACTCTAGTAACTCCTGTAACCTGTTGAAGACCCAGTTTGGACATAGCCTTCCGTGCCTTCTTTTCACTTCGACTCTGTTTTGCTTTACTGACGGGTTCTTCACCTATCTCAGCTGCTGCCACCAGCTGGGCTTGTTGTGTGGTTGCCTGCGTGGAGTCCTGTTCTTCAAACTCTGGTACTGATTCATCACTGTCAGATTCTGTTCCAGATCCTGCCTCAGCCTGGGACTGCGGCAACTCCCGCTCTGTAGCAGGGACGGTTTCTGTGGCTTCGCCAGGCATTTTGTGCAGGGAACGCGGTATCAAGATGGCGGCAGAAAGAGAGCGAGCAAGAGCCTTTCTGTTTATTACAAACACTAATTATGGTTTAGCCAGTCTGGTCCCAGTTGTGATGGGATTATGTCATGCAACGAGCATTTACTGAGTTACTACAATATACATTCCCCTGACCGCCTCTCTCTCACGCAACTCCCAAATCTGTCTCCAGCTTGACCGTCCCCTAGAGTTCCAGCTCTGAATCACTAAATACCCCCTTGATATCTCCTCAGGAATGTCCCACTAGATCTTCAAAATAAGCACAACCCCAGGAAACACCTCCTCTCTTCCAACTTTCCAAACCAATTTGTCTTCCCAAGATTTCTGATTGGTGTTTTTCAATTGGCTCAAGTTCAAACTGAGTTCCTGGCAGAGCTGTGATTCAATTAAACCTCTTTTTTTTCATAAATTACCTAGCCTCCGGTAGTTCTTTATAGCAGTGTGAGAATTGATTTATGACTTCACCTGTGTATTGGTCTGTTCTCACACTGCTATAAAGAACTACCAGAAGGGGCCGAGCACGGTGGCTCACACCTGTAATCCCAGCACTTGGGAGGCCAAGGTGGGCGGATCACGAGGTCAGGAGTTCAAGACCAACATGGTGAAACCCCATCTCTACTAAAAATACAACAATTAGCATGGTGGGGTGTGCCTGTAATCCCAGCTACTTGAGGCAGGAGAATCGCTTGAACCTAGGAGGCAGAGGTTACAGTGAACTGAGATTGCACCACTGCCCTCCCGCCTAGGTGACAGAGCAAGACACCTGAGACTGGGTAATTTATGAAGAAAAGAGGTTTAAGTGATTCACAGTTCTGTGGGCTAGACAGGAAGTATGGCTAGGCATTCTCAAGAAATTTAAAATCATGGCAGAAGGCGAAGGGGAAGCAAGCATGTCTTACCGTGGTAGAGCAGGGGAGAGAGACTGAAGGAGGAAGTGCTACACACATTTAAACAACCAGATCTCATGAGAACTCAGTGTCATGAGAACAGCAAGGGGGACGTCTGCCCCCGTGATCCAGTCACCTCCCACCAGGTCCCTCCCCCAACTGTAAACATTGGAAATTACAGTTTGACATGAGATTTGGGTGGGAACACAGAGCCAAATCATATCAGCCTACAACCTCTGCCTCCCCACTTTTAAAGACACTTACCTGCGAACCATCTAGAAGTTCAGGTGATAAGCTTTAGCTGCCCAGTCCTTCTTGCTTGGCACCCTGCAATAAATGCCTCACTTTCTCTTGCTGCAATCCCAATGTCAATGTTTGGCTTTGCTGCGCTGAGTGGGTAGACCCAAGTTCAGTTTGATAACAGTAGAGATGGCATGAGTCTGAAGCTGGGCAACTGTCACTATGGCTTCCCAGGAGGCAGGCAGCTTTCTGATTCCACAACCTCCTGATCTTGGTGGGGGCAGCAGCTCCCTTATCAACCTAAGTCTGAGATGTGGCATTGGGAGTCATCCCTGAAAGCTCAGTAGTGATTCTGTTTCTTCTGCCCTCCAGTCATGCTGTAAGACATCAAATATCTTTTTTTTGCATGGGGACAAAGTCTCACTGTTACCCAGGCTGAAGTGCAGTGGCACAATTTCGGCTCACTGCAACCTCTGCCTCCCAGGTTCAAGTGATTCTCCTGCCTCAGCCTCCTGAGTAGCTGGGACTGTAGTGTGCACTACCACGCTCAGCTAATTTTTGTATTTTTAGTAGAGGCAGCGTTTCACTAAGGTTAGCCAGGCTGCTTGCAAACTCCTGACCTCAGGTGATCCACCCACTTTGGCCTCCCAAAGTGCTGGGATTACAGGCATGAGCCACTGCGTCCGGCCTAGACAGTAAATATCTTATAATAAATCCCTGTCTGCTTAAACCAGGTAAAATAGGTTCTGTTCACTATGAGTGAACCCTAATGACACAGTAAGCAAGAGACAAGCAGGTTTAGAGTCTCTTGTAGCAGTTACCTAGGAAAACGTTTAAATAACAACAAATGAGGAAGGTTTCAGGGAGCAGCCATGAAAAAAGCCTAAAGAAAGAGAAGAGAACAACGGCAAAGGGGGATTGGAGCCGGTGCCCTGGACGGGAGGATCTGTATCTGTGTGTTTCTGCAGGGGAAGGAGGACAGATCCAACCTGAAACTACACGATGACATTGACACCGAAATAAAAAGGGCATTGCCTCCTGAAGACCAAAAGGCCCATGGGTGAGACGCTTGTCAGTCCTAAAGGAAGTAGAGATGATCTTTTAAATGGAAATAGGGACAGACGCCTGATATTAGTGTTAGTCTGTTCCCAGCTGTACCTCTAAAGATATTGGACTGATATTTATCTATATCCTTAAAATTGGTGCCTTGCATTTTCCAAGGTAAATAGCTGATTCTGTGTGCCCCCTGGTGGCTTGGGGCAGGGGGTGGGGGAAGAAAGACTACTCTAGAAGTGAAGGAAAAGGTCATCATGGATCTGAACTATAATCCTTGAGGTCAAGACCCATATTTATCTTGGGTAAAACCAGATAACAAGCATCTCATGTGGGACTGATATTTTCACCATGAGGCAAATAATAAACAACCCGTGATGTGGCCAGTAAATATCCCAGACTTCATATTTAATAATGACACCACAAACCCACATACGCGTTTAATTGTTTTTCTGATAATAGAAAGAGATTTGCACTCACCCAGGGAGGCACTCTATTCTGATGGTTAAAAGTTGCCCTCTGGAGTAACATCACCTGCATTAAATTCCAAGAACAAGAAGTGAGATCTTGGGCAAATTACTCATCCGTAAAATAGAGTCATTGAGAAGATTCTGGGAGACCCCATGCTGTAATTGGCAGCAGCAGCGTGGCCGTTCAGCCACACGGTCATGCAACCACACTGGGGGAAAGCGCCTGTGTGTGCAGAGACAGCACACAGGCTGTGTCCCCAAAAAGACCACTACCAACAAATCAGTACAAACCTATAACCTCACCAGCCTGCCTCTCCA